GTGAGATTCTGCAGTAATAATCAGGAAAAATGGTGGAGTACATGCATTAGATATTTTTCTCCTCCATAAAAACAATGAAGAATCAAGCCAAAATCATCAGAAACAAATTTTCAGAACTCCAGATATTAACCAAGATTTGTAGCCGTCCAGCTAGTATTTATTCAAGAAAAAATGGCTGAATCTTGGTAAGAATAGTGAACCCTGTGGTATTTTAACTTTCTTTTTGGGGGAGTGGGGTGGGCAGTCTTACTCTTTCGCACTAGGTAGAATGCTGTGGCATCATAGCTCACAGCAACTTCCAAATCTAGGGCTCAAGAACTTCTCTTGCCTCAGCCTCCTGAGTAGCTGGGACTATAGGTGCCGCCCAGCTAACTTTTCTATTTTTAGTACAGATGGTGATCTTACTCTTGGCTCAGGCTTCTCTCTCTCTCTCTTTTTTTTTTTTTTTGAGACAGTTTCATTATGTCGCCCTCAGTAGAGCACTGTGGTGTCACAGCTCACAGCAACCTCAAACTCTTGGGCTTAAATGATTCTCTTGCCTCAGCCTCCCAAGTAGCTGGGATTATAGGTGCCCACCACAATGCCTGGCTATTTCTTTTGTTGCAGTTGTCATTGTTTTTTAGCAGGCCCAAGCCGGCTGCCTCAGTGTATGTGGTGTAACCACTGTGCTACTGGCACCGAGCCCTCAGGCTGGTCTTGAACTCCTCAGCTGGAGCATTCTACTCTCGTTGGCCTTCCAGAGTGGCTAGGATTACACCCTTATTTTAACTTTCTTTAGCCTTACCACTTATTCTCCAGCTCAGCTATAGAACAGCTTATATGCCCGGTACTGGATGGATCAGAACAAAGGTAGAGCTCTTTCAAAGCCTCATACCCAAATTGTCATTATTTGACCTGTCTGGTGGTTTCTTTAGAGTCTCTACTCCAGAGGCTTGTCTTTATTTGACCTGCCTTGGAGGTTGCCCAGTGCTAAAAGCCTTTCACTAGTGTTGTTCATCAAAACAATTATAGCAAGCGTTGGAACTGCTTGAGTTGATGGGTCATGGTGTAGCAGATAATAGACTAATAGAAAAGTCTAAATGGAGAAGATGAGTAATGAGATGTCCATAGGGGCTTGGACAAGCTCCGACATGTTCCTGGGAATCTTTTTATTATTTATTTATTTATTTTTGTTCCTGGGAATCTTGAAGGTCACATGCATTTATAGGTCTGTGTGTATGCTTAGGGAAGCCCAAGAGTGCCCTAATCTCTCACTTTTGACTCATCTTGAGGCTCTTAATAAGCAGAAGATGTAGGCTAAGACGGAAATTAAACAGCCTGGCAGAGTGTTTAAAGCATGCCTCAGCACATATCCAGAGCTTCTTTTTTTTTGCAGTTTTTGGCCAGTGCTGGGTTTGAACCCGCCACCTCCGGCATATGGGACTGGCGCCCTATCCTTTTGAGCCACAGGCACCACCCCACACTCAGAGCTTCTGAGCAAAGATAGAGATTTACTAGTTCCAGGAATTTAAGGAAAATGCTGTCCAAGCATTAACCGATTACCAGACTAACCAAGTAAAGATCTTAGTGACTACACGCAATAAAGAACTCAGGCTTTGGCTCGGCGCCTATAGCTCAACCAGCTAAGGCGCCAGCCACATACACCTAAGGTGGCGGGTTCGAATCCCCAGCCTGGACCCGCCAAAACAACAATGACGGCTGCAACCAAAAAATAGCCGGGGGTTGTGGCGGGCGCCTGTAGTCCCAGCTACTTGGGAGGCGGAGGCAAGAGACTCGCTTGAGCCCAGGAGTTGGAGGTTGCTGTGAGCTGTAATGCCACGGCACTCTACCCAGGGGGACAGCTTGAGGCTCTGTCTCAAAAAGAAAAAAAAAAGAACTCAGGCTTTATAGAATTTGCTCAGAAACTAATTTAGGTTTAGTAAGTCAGAAAATTCACTAAACAAACAAAAGATGACTCTTTGGAAATGGCTGGGAGGCAAGATGGAAAAGATGAGCAGAGGAATAGCTTTGGGAATTATTAGGAGTTTTGTTTGCTGTGTGCTATGCGTGAGCTGCTGTCCACATTGAATAGGGCATTAGGCAGCAGGTCCTGTGGTGACTCAGGAGAGGGAAGGTAGAGGGCACAGACATTGGTAGATGTCTGTTTGCTCTGCAGATTGGAGGGGGTTGAAGTTTGCTTTTATTTTCCCCACAAAGTATGGGTATGAAACAGCGTACCTTGTTGAAAGTTAGCATGTATTGGAATATAGAGAACTGAGGAGAAAACGGACCCCCCTAGTACAGCAGTTTTCAACCTGTGGAACTGTATTAAAGGGCCACAGCATTAGGAAGGTTGAGAACCACTGCCTTAGAAGGTTTGAAAGGGTGGCTGGGCAGTGTGGAGTGCCACTTTGAGATTTGAGGTCATAAAATGTAAAGGAAGACTAAATTTAGAGTGATTTTGTGGCCCAGCCCTGTATGTTCAGGGGTAAGTGGCTAGTTGGGCTTCATCTGCACTTTGTTTTTTTGTGTTTGTTTGTTTTGTTTTGTTTTTTGAGATGGAGTCTCACTCTGTGCCCCGGGTAGAATGCTGTGGCATCCTAGCTTACAGCAACTTCAAACTCCTGGGCTCAAGTGATCCTCTTGCTTCAGCCTCTGTAGTAGCTGGGACTACAGACGCCTGCCACAATGCCTGGATAGTTTTTCTATTTTTTATTTTATTTTATTATTATTATTATTATTATTATTATTATTATTTTTTTGCAGTTTTTGCCTGTGGCTGGGTTTGAACCCGCCACCACTGGCATATGGGGCCGGCGCCCTACTCCTTGAGCCACAGGTGCTGCCCCAAGTTTTTCTATTTTTAGTGGACAAGGAGTCTCTTGCTCAGGCTGGTCTTGAACTCCTGAGTTCAGGAGATCCACCTGCCTTGGCCTCCCAGAGTACTAGGATTACAGGTATGAGCCACAGCGTCTAGCCTTTGTGTTTGTTTTTTAGAAACAAGGCTTGCTCTGTTGCCCAGGCTTGAGTGCAATGGCATGATCATAGCCTCGAACAACTGAGCTCAAGTGATACTCCCACCTCAGCCTTCCAAGTAGCTGGGACTACAGGCATCTGCCACTATGTGTGGCCAATTTTTGTAGAGATGGAGGCTGGCTATGTTGCCCAGGTTGATCTCAAACTCCTGGGTTCAAGCAGTCCTCCTGTGCTAGCCTCCCAAAGGGGTGGGATTACAGGCCCTAGAGTTTTTGTGACAAGTGATGGAGGGGAGCCAGAGAAGCAGAGCACTCACAAACATAGGACAGCCCTGATGGAGAATCACAAATTCTAAGAGTGAAGAGGCAGTGCAGCCAGAAGGGACATGGAGAATAGTGACCAAGTGCTAGAATTTGTGTGTTTAGAGTTTCTGATAAGCCCAAAGAATTGTTAGAGTTGGGCAGACAGGGTGAATGATCACAATTACAGGAGGTGGCAAGGCTTGAAGCTAAAACTTCAGAGGGGTCAGTTCTTGGTGATGGCAAGGAAAGGGTAGACCATGTGAGGCAGAGACAAGAATAGATAGAATTGAGGAGGTCAGTGAACAGTCAAGAATGTTTGAGGACTCATCCATGTAGATGTGGATGTCCACAAGGAGGTGACAAGGGGGCACAAAAGCAGACAGTGATCAGGAACTGTGAAGTGTGGCAGGTAGACATCAGAGATGGCAGTGCACAGGGGTGTAGTTTGATGGCATGGTCTTCCAAGAAGCCTCAGCTTTGAAGAGAGGAGGTTTAGAAATGTACTAGAAGTGTTAAGGGGCCAGACCCTGAGGCACCTTAGTTGTGAAAGGAAGAACAGCCTCCTCAGGCAGGTTACTGTCAGGATAAAAAGGAAAGGCCACCTCAGAGAAGTTAGTCCATCTTCCAGAAAGTGGAATGAAAGGGCTTGGGGTTTCTGAAAGAAGATAAAGGTAAAGAGGTGTTTACTGTCACCCTCCTCCCACTCTACTGGGCTGGGGAGTGTGCCTGGGAACCCCAGGCAGGCCCTCCCATTGCAGAACTTGCCTTCTAATGGAACAGTTAAAGGAAAGGATCTGAGGCCAAGCATGGTGGCTCATGCCTATAAACCGAGCACTTTGGGAGACTTATGTGGGAGGATGGCTTGAGCTCAGGAGCTCAAGATCAGCATGAGCAAAAGTGAGATTTTGTTTGTACAAAATACAGAAAAATTAGCCAGGCGTGGTGGTGGTTGCCTCAAGTCCCAGCTACTTGGGAGGCTGAGGCAGGAGGATCGTTTGAGCCAGGAGTTTGTGGCTGCAGTGAGCATGATGATGCCATTGTGCACTAGCAAGGGAGAAAAAGCAAGACTATTGTCTAAAAAGCCTAAAAGAAAAGGATCTGGAAAAATACATACATACATTCTTTTTAAAGGGATATCTGGGAAAAAATTAAAAGAAAGTCATTTCAGGGTGATGTCCATAGCTCAGAGTGTAGGGCGCCAGCCACATATACCAGGGCTGGTGGGTTCAAACCCAGCCAGGGCCAGCTAAAACACAATGACAACTGCAACAACAAAAATAGCCGGGCATTGTGGTGGGCGCCTGTAGTCCTAGCTACTTGGGAGGCTGAGGCAAGAGAGTTGCTTAAGCCCAGGAATTTGAGGTTACTGTGAGCTGTGATGCCACAGCACTCTGCCTAGGGTGACATAACCAGACTCTGTCTCAAAAAAAAAAAAAGGAAGTCATTTCAGCTAGTGCTAAGGCCTGTGAGCCCTCCTTTGGATGTGGGCATCTTATGAAGTAGAAACTGTGGCTTCCTGGGCACACTGAGTGTGGGTAAAAATGCTTGCTGCACTGACAGACACACTCCTCCCCCATTTGCTCTATGACCCGCATCCTGGTAGCTGGCTCCCTCTGGAGCATCACTGCAACCGTAGAGGAGCAGTGTCAGATGAGTTGGTTAAGGGGATATGAGAGAGCTGTTGCTCCAGGAGAGTACCTGCCCCAGTCATCTTTTCCCTCTTCCTGACCCTTGCCCGCCCAGACACCATCCGGAAGATGAAGAATGATTTCCGGAAGATGGAGGACGAGATGGACCGGCTAGCCACCAACATGGCAGTGATCACGGACTTTAGTGCACGCATCAGTGCCACACTGCAGGATCGCCATGAGCGCATCACCAAGCTGGCAGGTGGGCGTTGCCAAGTGGGACCTCTGGTGGGCCACCCTTGGAGTCTGGGCTAACCACCTCCTGGTCCCCAGGGGTTCACGCGCTGCTACGGAAGCTGCAGTTCCTTTTCGAGTTGCCTTCGCGCCTCACGAAGTGTGTGGAGATGGGCGCCTACGGGCAGGCAGTGCGCTACCAGGCCCGCGCACAGGCTGTGCTGCAGCAGTACCAGCACCTGCCCTCGTTCCGTGCCATCCAGGATGACTGTCAGGTCATCACTGCCCGCCTGGTCCAGCAGCTACGGCAACGTTTCAGGTGTGTCCCTTGGCCCATCACCCCAGCCCTCCCCGGGCCCTTCCAGAGCTGTAGTCCTTCACTGCCATCTCCTTCTCTGTAGGGAGGGCAGTTCCGGAGCTCCTGAGCAGGCGGAGTGCGTGGAGCTACTGCTAGCCCTGGGCGAGCCGGGGGAGGAGCTGTGCGAGGAGTTCCTGGCCCACGCCCGTGGGCGGCTGGAGGAGGAGCTGAGCAGCTTGGAGGCCGAGCTAGGGCCCTCTCCTCCAGCTCCAGACGTGTTAGAGTTCACAGACCATGGAGGCAGCGGCTTCGTGGGTGGCCTCTGCCAGGTGGCTGCAGCCTACCAAGAGCTGTTTGCGGCCCAGGGTCCTGCGGGTGCCGAGAAGCTGGCAGCCTTTGCCCAGGAGCTGGGTGGCCGCTACTTTGCACTGGTGGAACGCCGACTTGCACAGGAGCAGGGGGGTGGTGACAACTCGCTGCTGGTGCGGGCGCTGGACCGCTTCCACCGGCGCCTGCGGGCCCCTGGAGCCCTGCTAGCAGCTGCTGGGCTTGCAGAGGCTGCCACAGAGATTGTGGAGCGAGTGGCCCGTGAGCGCCTGGGCCACCACCTGCAGGGGCTGCGGGCAGCCTTCCTTGGTTGCCTGACTGATGTGCGCCAGGCTCTGGCTGCACCTCGCCTGACTGGGAAGGAAGGCCCTGGCCTGGCGGAATTGCTGGCCAATGTGGCCAGCTCCGTCCTGAGCCACATCAAAGCCTCCCTGGCTGCAGTGCACCTCTTCACCGCCAAGGAGGTGTCCTTCTCCAACAAGCCCTACTTCCGGGTATGGCTTTCCCTTGGGCGTTTCTTATTCATCCTTCTGGTTGGCCCTCTAATACCCTTTTACCAGCACTTGGAGAACTGGGGACAAGTTACCTGAGCACACACAGTTCTTCCCAAAGGCACTCTGGTTGTTGTTTCATGTTCTCTTGAGGCTCAACCTGGAGGGTGGGGATGGCTCTGAGGACATCTGCAGCTGGGCTGAGAATAGGGAGGTTTCAGGGTCTCCACTGTTTGCACTCTCCCACCCCTAAGCAGAGGAGTTGCACTGGGGTACTTGGAATGCAGGATGATGCTGTCCTTTGGAGAAGAGCTAGGGCACTGAGGGCCTCAGCAGAAGGTCATAAGCAACCCCCGCCTGGAAGAGTGGAACTGCTCTATATCTGGGTCCTTCCTCTTCACAGGGCGAATTTTGCAGCCAGGGCGTCCGCGAGGGTCTCATCGTGGGCTTCATCCATTCCATGTGCCAGACAGCTCAGAGCTTCTGTGACAGCCCTGGGGAGAAGGGGGGTGCCACACCACCTGCCCTGCTCTTGCTGCTCTCCCGCCTCTGCCTGGACTATGAGACAGCCACCATCTCCTATATCCTCACCCTCACTGATGAACAGTTTCTGGTGCAGGTGCTAGCTTATGGGGGGGGGGGGAGATAGTGGTGTTGAGAACATAGGAGGCTGGATCCTGCCCCACCTTTGCCTACCCAAGCCTCTACCTTGCCTAGTCTGTGCCCAGCTCCTGAGCTGCCCTCTGTATCCACTCCTTGTCCTCTGCCTCCTTGCCTAGGACCAATCTCCAGTGACACCTGTGAGTGCACTGTGTGCAGAAGCCAGGGAGACAGCACGGCGGCTGCTGACCCACTATGTGAAGGTGCAGGGCCTGGTCATATCACAGATGCTGCGCAAGAGTGTGGAGACCCGGGACTGGCTCAGTACCCTGGAGCCCCGGAATGTGCGTGCCGTCATGAAGCGGGTGGTGGAGGACACCACAGCCATTGACGTGCAGGTGCTGTGCAGGTTGGGAGTGCTGGGAGACAGCCCTCTGAATATTAAGACAGCAGGAATCAGCAGTGCCAGTATCCATGGCTTTGATCCTCCTTAGCTCTAGATTATGGCATCATTGCCCCCATTTCACCTATGGGGAAGCTGAGGTCCAGGGTCAACTAGGAACTGGATGCAGGACTGGGGTTGAAGATTGGGCCTCAGACCAACTCCGGTGTCCTGCCTTTGCTGTACTCCACTGGTTTTATAAATAGAGATTTTTTTTTTGAGACAGAGTCTGTCACCCTGGGGTTGGGTGCCATGGCATCATCATAGCTCCCAGCAACATCAAATTCTTGGACTCAAGTGATCCTCTTGCTTCAGCTTCCCGAGTAGCTGGGACTACAGGCGCCTGGCAAGTTTTTCTTTCTTCCTTTTTTTTCTTTTTTTTTAGTAGAGACCGGGTGCTTTTGCTTGGTCTTGATTCAAACTCCTAAACTCAAGCAATCCCCCTGCCTTGGCCTCCCAGAGTGCTAGGATTACAGGCGTGAGCCGCCGTGCCAGGCCCTAAATAGTGATCTTATACCAACTAGATTGCTGGCTCTTTGGTCACTGCCTTCTGTTCTTGTAACAATTGAGTAGTAACTTAGAGCGTCCTCCGCACCTGATGGGCGGCGGATTCCCCAGGCTCCGGCCTCCTTGCAGTACTTTCTTTCGCCACTAGGTGGGGCTCCTGTACGAAGAGGGTGTTCGCAAGGCCCAGAGCAGCGACTCCAGCAAAAGGACCTTCTCCGTGTACAGCAGCTCCAGGCAGCAGGGCCGCTATGCCCCTAGCTATACACCCAGGTCTGGCTGGTCAGGAGAGCCCCAGGGGATGGACAAAAGAGGAAGAAGATGCAGAGTGGGCCCTGATTTCTTGTGTCTTCCCATCCAGTGCCCCAATGGACACCAACCTCTTGAGCAATATCCAGAAGCTATTTTCTGAACGTATTGATGTGTTCAGCCCTGTGGAGTTCAACAAGGTGAACTCAGTGACCCAGACCCGGGGAAGGTTGGCTGAAGTAGCCCCACAACATCCCAGGGAGCCCTAGAACCCTGTCTGTGCCCAACTAGGGCTGACCCTGACACTCCAGTCTCTTGTCTCCAGGGCTGTTTTACTAGTCCAAAACCCTAACACCACCATTCCATAGCTCTGACCTTGGTATGTGCCCAGGCTGGCTTTGGGTGCTGAATTAACATGCCTTTTTGCCCTTGTCCTTGTCCCCACAGTAGTCCTACATCCTCCCCAAGATTTCTATTCACACTATGCTCTCTTTCCTAGGCCAACCTAAGCTTATGTATCTGGTGCCCTCCTTCTAACTCAGTAATGCTCCTCCCACCCCGTGTTGCTGTGGGACTCCGCCTCTGCCTCTTAATTGCTGGGCTCTACCTGTCCCCTCCAGATGGTGCTAATATTGTATTCCTCTCATCTTACCTGGGCCCTGGGACTTTCTGCCTCATTGTAACTATGGGCATTTTAGGTCTCCTCTGGCTCCTGCTGAGAAGTGGTTGCCCCTCCTCCAACATCTTCTGTTACAGCTGCATCCCTGTGTCCTTGCCTGCAGGTGTCAGTGCTGACTGGTATCATCAAGATCAGCCTGAAGACGCTGCTAGAGTGTGTCCGGTTGCGCACCTTCGGGCGCTTTGGGCTACAGCAAGTGCAAGTGGACTGCCACTTTTTGCAACTCTACCTGTGGCGCTTTGTGGCAGACGAGGAGCTCGTGCACCTGCTGCTGGACGAAGTGGTGGCCTCGGCTGCCCTTCGCTGCCTGGACCCAGTGCCCATGGAGCCCAGTGTGGTGGAGGTCATTTGTGAGCGCGGCTAGGCCCTGCAGCTGCTGTGCACAGGCCCGTTCTGCAGCTGCTGTGCGCAGGCCTGCTCCGGAGTCCCAACCCGCCCCTGCCTTGGTCTTGGCCCTGGCGGTCATTCCTCACCGGCAGGTGTCCGGACCCGCCTAATAAACAAGTGCGGCCTCCTCCTACCTCTGGATTGCTGGGCGGGACTTGCTGGGGGTGGAGTTTTGCGGCTGAGGCGCCTTATGAGGCGCCCGTGTCGGGTCCACCCCCAGAGCGGATTGGCTGGTGCTCTGGGCTCAGGATGGGCCGGGGGTGGGGCCATTGAAAGCCCTTGGGACAAGTCTGGTCGCTGTCTAAGCTGAGCGTTGAGACAGGTGCAGGCGCAGCAGGACCCTCCAAATCACTGATCCCATCCTAGGGGGTGGAACAAGCTGTGTTTCCTTGACCGACTTTTGTGAGCCCCCTCTCTCCGGTGGAGCGGAGACCATGGCCCCTCAGGGCTCCCAGGCCCCGCTGGAATTCGGGGGGCCCTTGGGTAATGGACCAGAGAGGGAGTAACTGGGGCAGAGGCTGAGCGAGGGAGAGCTGGAGGGGGTGTGCTACGAGCCGGGAGGGGGGCAAGATTTGAAGATGGAAGGCTTGGGGGAAATCCGGGGTTTGGAGGGATAGTGTCTGGTGAGAGCTGAGAAGGAGCTGGTTCTGGATGCTGCAGAGCAGGTGATTTGTGGAGTAGACTGGGAGTCAGAACAGGAGGTTGGTTCATCGAGGAGGTCTGGGGGCTGGGGACCAAGATGGAAGTCAGGGAAGGGGACTGGAAGGCAGCGGGGGTCTTGGGGGCAGAGGGCTAAGAACAGGATAGGCAGGCGGGCGCTGGGAATGGAAGACCCCAGGAAGACAGGGAGCCTGCAGGGGTCGGGGTGGGGGGGAGCCGGGGAGCGGACGCCCAACGCTGTGGCCTCCTCTCCTAGGCGCTGCGGCGCTGCTGCTGCTGCTGCCTGCCACCATGTTCCATCTGCTCTTGGTGGCCCGCTCAGGCCCGGCGCGGCTACTGGGCCCACCCCCCTACCTGCCCGGGCCGGAGGAGCTGTGGAGCCCGCGGGCGCTGCTGCTGTGGCTCACCTGGCTCAGCCTGCAGGTGGCGCTCTACCTATTGCCAGCGCGCAAGGTGTGGGCTCTGCTCGCGGACGCGTGGGGGAGGAAGGAAGGGCTCGGCTATGGAGAAGACCCTCCTTCCATCCCCTGTGCAAGCCTTAACAGAACCCTTCGTATCTGTAGGTGGCTGAGGGGCAGGAATTGAAGGACAAGAGTCGCCTCTGCTACCCCATTAACGGTGTCTGGAGGGGGACCCTTGCCCAGGATTTGCGCGGGTGGGGGCAGAACTCCAGGGGTAGCTGGGAGGTCTGTGGAGATTAGCCCTAACCCTAAGCTCCTTTACGTGCCCCTTCTACCGCCGGGACAGACGCCTGGGGTCTCTCCATGCCCCTTGTCCCCACACCCCTATGCCACTTACTACTGCTCTGTGCAGTTAGAGTGATCCCCAAGGCCAAGAGGGCAGCCTAATGCTTGAGACAAAGTCTGTGTCCTCTCTGTACTTTGGGGTGTGGGGGGGGGTGGCAGGTGTGTACTGGGGGGACCTGCAGGTGCACAGTCCCAGGACTCATTGTGTGCTGTGGTTCAGGCTTCCAGGCCCTGGTGCTGACAGCTCTGCTGGTGGGGCTGGGGGTGTCAGTGGGGCTGCCCCTCAGGGCTCTCCCGGAAATGCTCCTGCCCCTGGCTTTTGTGGCCACCCTCACGGCTTTCATCTTCAGCCTCTTTCTCTATATGAAGGCTCTGGTAGCACCTGCCTCAGCCCTGGCACCTGGGGGAAACTCAGGTAAGATGGGGTCCCTGGGGAGTAGAGATGGAGGCAGACAGGGGCTCCTGCCTCCACCTTCATCCCCCATTATTCTTCAGGTAATCCAATTTACGACTTTTTCCTGGGACGGGAACTCAACCCTCGCATCTATTCCTTTGACTTTAAATATTTCTGTGAACTTCGGCCTGGCCTCATCAGCTGGGTATGCTGGGCTGGCTTGCAGCCAGGGGACAGGGGCAATGGGAGAACAGTGTTTGGGCAAGGCAAAGTCAAAATTTGTGCAGGCATGAATCATCAATCATTCATTCATTTCACAAACATTTGTTGAGTCCACCATGTGCCCTAGGTACTGGGAGACAAAAAATCTCTGCCGCATAGAGCCTACATTCTAGAGGAAAAGACAGACCAAAAAAAAAGAAAGAAAGAAAAGAAAAGAAAGAAAAAGAAAAAGTAAAGTATACATAGCATGTCAGGAATGACAAGTACGGGGGAACAAAGCACAGGGATCTAGGAGAACATGTGCAATTTTGTTTTCTTTTTCAGTTTATTGCCCCCATGGAGTGCTGTGGCCTCATAGCTCACAGCAACCTCAAACTCTTGGGCTCAAGTGATTCTCTTGCCTCAGCTCCTAAATAGCTGGGACTATAGGTACCCGCCACAATGCCCAGCCATTTTTAGAGACCGGGTATCGCTCTGGCCCAGACTGGTTTCAAATCTGTCACCCACCTTGGCTTCCCAGAATGTTAGGAATACAGGTGTGAGCCAGAGTGCCCAGCCTAGTATGTGCAATTTTGAATACAGTAGTCAAGCCCAGAGTCTATTTCCGGGAAGGAGATCACATGCTACTTGGTGGGTCAGAGCACTGCAGAACTTAGAGTTGATCACTGTATTAGCAACTTGTCTGTTACTGGGGACCTTGACAGCATTCCTACTGGGTTCTTTTCTTTCTTTCTTTCTTTCTTTTTTTTTTTTTTTTGAGACAGAGTCTCAGTATGTCGCCCTCGGTAGAGTGTGGGTGGCAACTCAGCTCACAGCAACCTCAAACTCTTGGGCTTAGGTGATTCTCTTGGCTCAGCCTCTGAACTCTTGCCTAAGCCCAAGAGTTTTGAGGTGAGAAGGGTGCCTGAGATTTTTTTTTGTCTCCCAGTACCTAGGGCACATGGTGGACTCAACAAATGTTTGTGAAATGAATGTGGACTCAAGTCCCAAGTAGCTGGGGCTACAGGCACCTGCCATGATGCTCAGCTATTTTGTTGCTGTTGTCATTGTTTAGCAGGCCCTGGCCAAGTTCGAACCCACCAGTCCTGGTACATGTGGCTGGTGCCCTAACCACTGAGCTATGAGTGCCTAGCCTCCTACTGGGTTCTTATGTTATAATTACCCAAGCTGGACCACAACCAAGATTACCTGAGGAACTCTTCGTTAAGGTCTCTCATGTCACCCTGGAAATGATCTCATCTGAGGCAGGTGTGCTAAGTACCCACTATGATTCTGGCCTAACCACAGGAACATCAACCTCTGTGGCTATTTCCTCTTCTGTGAAATAGGATAAAATTAAAGCTTTCTCCCAAGATTACTGTGAGGCTTAGAAGAGGTAACCTTAATGACAGAGTCAAGGTCATGGCTTCTAAACACAGGTCAGCTCCAGCTAGCCACCACTCACACTTACCATGTGCCCAAAATGCTGTGCTTAGTGCTTAATGGCACAATGCCATTGAGTTCTCAGCTTCATGAAGCAGGTCTCTAATTACCCCCATTTCCACACGAGTGTGGGGATGGGCTTTGGAGAGCCTAAGCACTCTGCCCAAGTGGCAGAGCTGATTCAAAACCAGGTCTGAGGCTGGGTACGGTGGCTCATGCTTGTAATCCTAGCATTCTGGGAGGCCGAGGTGGGTGGAATGCCTGAGCTCAGGAGTTCAGGCATGCCCCTGCCCATGTCCAGCCGGGCCACTCACTGTAGGGCAAGGACCAAGGAATTCAAGACTAGCCTGAGCTAGAGCAAGACTCCATTCCTTTTTTTTTTTTTT